TAATCTGTTGGAGACTGCAGAAGACATCTGGTAACACAACAGAGGATAGAGGACAGAACAAACCAGTGAGCTGCTCCAGCCAAGTGTTGGCAGTGAGTAACTGGGCAAAAGGAGAGTCTAAGGTGGACCAGTGGATTGTGGGGAGATTTCATCGTGCGTGGAGTGGTGAGATTGGCAGTAATTCAGAACTGTTGAACTATCAAAACTTCATGAGAAGGACCCTCAAAGCGTGCCCTACATCAGGGAACCTTGGATGATGTCAGCTGGCTGCCCTCCATCCCAGGGTACTGAGGCAGTTGGGAGGCTAGGTATCTTCTATCCTTCTATCTCCCTTTTCTCCAGACACAGGAAGGAAAAAAAGAGGATGTGGAAATGATGATCTCACCCACCCTCTTGTAGCCCTTGACCCTAATCACTCTAATCAACTATGTAAAAATCATCGAAAAAAAAATAATAATTTTAAAAAGATGTGATTTACAGAGAATCAGTTTACATGGATCAGAAGTAAAAACCTTCTTTGTCTTAACAATACACTCTGAAAATAAGAACTGGACTTTCTACTTGGGTAATTTGATGTAAGCTAGAATATGATTTGGTTTATATCTCTACCATGGATTGTTTCTATTGAAACTCAAAAGACTGAGTGGCAATCTTTTGATGTCAGAGTTTCTCCAGTTAAAAAATGAGATATGACTAAATGAAAAGTACCTATTTCCTCTGACTATTGTGGCAAACAATAGTAAGTTTAATTATTCATTTTATTGATTTGAAAGTACCTTGGATAAGGAGAATAAGCCTTCCATCTTTTTGTTCACTGTTCATATGGCCATGTGGCAGGGTCTGAACCAGGCACTGGAGCCATCATTTACTGCTTTTCTCAGGCCACTAGCAGGAAGTTGGATCAGCAGTGTACCAACTTGGAATCAACCCAATGCCCATGTGGGATGCTGGAGTTGCAAGCACCAGCTCAATGAATTTTTTATTTTTGGATTTGGATAACTTTATTTTTTTTTCTTTTTCTTTACTTTAAAATTTCATTTCATTTTATGACATAGTTTCATAAGCTCTGGGATTCCCCATGCCCTCCCCCCATGGTGGATTCCCCCACCTTGTTGTAGTATTACAGTTCAAATCCAGTCATGATTCTTTCTTTGCAAGCATGTACCATGCAGAGTCCAGCATCTTATTGTCCAGATAAATTCAACAGTTTCTTGGGGAGACCTTCTCTGGTCTAAAGGTAGAGCTGGCAGAATATCATCCCGATCAATTAGAAGCCCCAGCACAACATCAACAACAATTTACAACATTATGGAATTAATTGACATGGTATTGAGTAATCAATATGTTAACAACATATATCTTAACAACATCCTGCGACTACTTCATTGACATTTCAATTTCAGTTTATACAAGCTGACTTCATGATGAAATGTATTTTGAATGTATCAAAGCAGTTCTAATACCTTAATAATTGGTGTAAAAAAGAAAGAGGGATTAAAGGAAAGAGAAAGCCAAGAAAATGAAAAGTAATGAAAATCGATGCAGGAGAAGGCAGTAGAAAAGAAAATGATTGTTGACCATGTCTGGTTTTTGCACATCTCAGTGTACAACATATAATCTTTTATAAACATACCATACTCTTTTATAGACTATTTTGGAACCCCAATAAAGCTTCCTTTAATACAGACCATACTTCTTAGTTCATATGACTATGCATTATTAACCAGAGCACTTAAATCTGGAGTATGTGAAGTTAATATTGTCTTTCAATGTATAAAGCATTTTCCAAGATAAATAAACCATAGAAACCAAGCATCGATACCCTCAATCTCTAATATGAAACATATTCTGTATCTTTTCATTCTGGACTATGAAGTTAATTCAGTGGTCACCATACACACACACACACACACACACACTCTCACACACACTCACACACACACATATGTATGCATTCATCTATACACATAGGTATATAGTCAAGTATATGTAGTAAATATATGTACTTTTTTGTAATACTTAAAATGTAAATATTTTGGTACATATAATATATGAAGGTGGAAAAAAGAGGGAGAAGGATTTTTAAGGATGAATAATATAGGGCATAATAAACAGAAAACTAGCGAACCAGAGGAATCTTTTCTTTCACATAACTTCCTCGTTATCTCAAGTATTTTACAAACTAGTTTTTAGTAGTAGTGTATAGCTTTATTAAAATAGCGGAGATATTTGTTTAAACTAATGAAACGACAGCAATTATAATTAAATAGAAGAGTCTTCAAGAAGTAATTTTACCAGGAAATATTCATTTAAAATTTTAATAAATAAAAGGACTCAAGACAGTTAATTTTCATAATCAGTTCATAGCAAAGTAGTCCCATTGTCCAATAGAAACAGGCATTTGTTCCCAGTTTAGAAGGAGAAACGCATGGAAAGCTTAGTGCTTCTGGTTGTGTATGGGAATAGTCCCCTTTCATGTTTTGTCATGTCTGAAACAGTTCCTTTGCAGGTGTTTATAGTAATGAGATGCTAACTAAATAGGCACGTTGAGGTTGTGTCACAATGAGAAATTTGCAAGGTAAGGCTAACTTACATTATAGATGGCAATGATGAAAGACCGTGGAAGAGAAAATAGGTCTGGTGATAAAATGCGGTTTCAGTGGTAATTTAAAAATATGTTTCTCTCACAGAAACCTGAATTTGATATATAGATCACAGAACACAGTATCAAGGTACCCATGACATTTTTAGCTGTGAGTCCAGATAGGGAAGGTTTTGATTTTAAGGTACTATGGATTCCGTGTGGCTGTAGGGTGAACTCCCAAGAGGTATTTTAAAGCTATGAGTGGAATTGTCTGCTTATTTTACGAGAGTCCTAAATCTTGAAAATTAAGTGTATAAAATTTCTGTGGTCCACTAGGCTTCATGTTGAAGTCCAGAATTCATTTCATTCCTGGTAACTTGGAACTTTCTCGGGAAAACTTTGGAATGACCCAGTTATTATGTGCTTGTTGTGATTTTTGAGTCTTCCTCAGTGAAGTCACAATATTTAGTTAGATGACCAGGGAGCTCCGATACACTGCTTTTCATCAGAACAACAAATTCAGAAAGCTAGCTCTGATACTGTGGAACTTATAATTCCTCTTATGAAGATCTTTGTACACTAACATGTGAAGATAGCAAAGGTTTTCTCACATTATACACTGAATTTTAGGATATACTATTCATCAAAAACATAGCTATCCATTTCGTATTTCTTTACTTACAAATAGATTTTCTGGTTCATTTACTGGAAGTTGTATAGAGAGATTTCTGTGGCATTGAGAAAATTCTGATCAGTATTTTACATATGAATTAGAAAATGCATTTATACTGTGTGTCTAATCTCGGCAATATCTATGTTTGAATCTTTGGTAGCACTTCATGTAGTGCATCATACTGATTGCACGTCATAGCATGAAGCTGTAATTTAATCAACCAGCTTTTTTTTTTTTGAGATGTGGGGTGCTTTTCACTATAGAAGCATATGTTGAGTCAACCCAGAAATCCAATGCAAGGTGGTTCCAGAGATGAAAATTGCAGGACTAATAATTATTTTTAATGTTCAAATGCTGGAATGACAAAATGCTAAATTTCAGGTTAAGATTCCCAGGAGATAAGCCATAAACCTGTCTGCTTGTTCAGGGGAATGTGGTATTCCTTGACTGATAACCTTATCGATTATTAATAAGTGTACCCTAGTTATTATTTCCCAAAGAAAAAGAAGGTTGTTAGAGATTGGTTACAAAACAGTTACCCATGGCAGGAATAAATTCATGTGATAGCTACAGACAGGAATAAATTCATGTGCTGCTTAGGATGTGCGTAGGAAACCAGCCTCCCGTATTGGAGTACCTGGCTTCACTTGGATGCAGCTTTCAGGTTCCTGCTGCTGTGGACACTGGGAGACAGATGATGGCTCACGATCTTGGGATCCCATGACTAGCGCACAAGTCTTGGATTGAATTTCAACTCCAAGCGTTGGACACAGAAGGGGGAAAAAGCTAAGGGAGCTTGTTTGTCTTTTTCAGTGTGTCTCTGGATCTGAAATACATTGGTTCATAAACACCAGAACCTCAAAGTGTAGTTTGAATTGCCATGGAAATTTGGATTATGTGTTGGTTTTGTATAATATTCAAGTGTTCAAATATTTCCATATATTGTACCAGAGAAGTATTTTATGAAGTTTGAAATGGATAAAATCATTCAATTTTTAAATTTAAAAGTTACTTTATGTTCCTTTCTATATTACACTGATCTCTATCAATGTACTTTATTAAAATATTTTATGAGTTTAGAGACAATATTTTAAAAATCTGAAAAGAACACCACCTTATTAGCATTATAAAATTTGCTATAGTTTTTTAAAATGTTATTATAATGGCTACATAGTCTCTATGATATAAAACTAAGTATAAATAAGCTAGATGGGACCAAGATTATTATAAATAGTCCCTATGAGAACCAGGTTTTGCACAACGCTGTAATAACATGATCAAAATTCATAAATAGATGAATTTGGAGATAAGAAAGTGTTAACTTTATCTGTATTTATTTCAATCCTTTTTATGACCTCAGAGTATAATTTAGACTTTTTTTCAGGAACCCGAATCGACTACTTCTCACCATAGTTTACTCTCAGAATATGTACTTGCTAGTCAATAATCATTCAGAAGCAAATTAATCAAAATGGTTCATAGATAGATTTATAGTCTCTGAAAGTTCCTGTACAATAGCTGAAACTAAATTGTCGCTGTAACCTAGAAGAATATTTGAAGACATAGTATTTTGTGGACTCAAACATTTTCCAAAGCTGCCTGTCAGTTCTTCATGTCTGACATAGGACAATGTGGACAACACAGACTTAACTTTGCTGTTGCTGCTTAAAATTCAATTTGGATAAAATATTGATTGTCATATTTCTTACATGAATTTGGCTAAATCCATGTTTGATTTCCTAGGGATCCTTACAATGCAATTGAAGCTATAGACCCAGAGAAACTGAATGTCTTCCGGACTGTCAGAGAAATAACAGGTAATCTTTAGAAGTGTAATCACAATATTAGGAATTATGCATATTTGTGTGTTCTCTTGAAAGCAATATGTGATATTGAATTGAACAATCCATTTCAAAGCAAAGTCTAGTTTGTAAAATTGCATATAATTCTGAAAGTGGATATCCTACTCTTTAACTTTGGTGCATAATTTGAAAGCCAATGGAATTGCAAATCAAATATCTTTATAATTTTGATGCTGCTATTTTTGCAGCTATGAACTGACCTTGTAACATATTTTTGTTGCTATTTTTAAGATTCATTAATATACTTATCTACTTACTTACTTATTAAAAAGGTGCTGTTACAGAGAGAAAGAGAGGGAGAGACAGGAAAGATGTCATCTTCCAACTGCTGGTCTGCTGCCTCAGCATCCAAAGTGGTTGGGGCTGGACCAAGCCAAAGCAGGATCTTAGAATTCCAGCTGAGTCTTCAGTGTGGGTAGCTGGGACGCAAGCACTCCTCCTGTCTTCCCATGCTTTCCAAGATGCAGTAGTAGGCAGCTGGATCAGAAGTCACATAGACAGGACAGGGACCAGCACTCATCGGAGATGCTGGTACTGCTTGTGACAATTTAATATGATTACAACACCAGCCTTAGTGAAGTCATGCTTATTATGTTTGCTTTTACACAAGCAGTACTATTGAGCATGGGTAACGTTAATTGATTACTCTTTATTTTTTTATTTTTTTTTTTTATTTTTTTTTTTTATTGTTGCTTACATTATATTATGTAGTACAGTTTTATAGGCGCTGGGGATTCCCCCCACCCCTCCCATAACCCTCCCCCCATGGTGGATTCCTCCACCTTGTTGCATAACCATAGTTCAAGTTCAGTTGAGATTCATTGCTTGCAAACACATGCCTAGCATAAAGTTCAGCGTCTTATTGTCCAGATAAGTTCAGTGGCCTCTTGGGGAGACCTTCTATGGTCTGAAGATAGGTCTAACAGGGTAGAGATCCGGTCAGTTAAAAGCCCCAACAAGGCCTCAGTGTCAATATACAACATTATGGAATTAATTGACATAGTAATGGGTAGACAATATGTTAAAAATAATGCAAGTTCCATTCTTCGAAACATCTGGGTTGAGACAGTATCAATGACAGGTTCAGAAAATAACCAACAACCAAACAAAAAATTACAGGTTAAATCAAGGCAAACATGTGGTATCTAATCTTTTGGGATTCACTCATTTCCCTTAGCATTATAGTTTCCAGTTGTGCCCATTTAGCCACAAAGAACTGCATTTTGTTTTTTTTAATAGCTGAGTAGTATTCCATGGAGTAGATGAACCAAAGCTTTCTTATCCAATCTTCTGCTGATGGGCATTTCGGTTGCTTCCATGTTTTTGCAATTACTGATTGTGCTGCAATGAACATAGGGATGCATGTTGGTTTGTCGTAAAACAGGTGTTTTGGATACTCCGACTTTCTAAGAAGGACACCAAAAGCAATAGCAGTTGAGAACAGAATAAACAAATGGGACCTCATCAAACTAAGAAGCTTCTGTACAGCAAGGGAAACAATCAACAAAGTAAAAAAGCAACCCACAGATTGGGAGAAGATCTTTGCACACGATATAGGCGATAGGGGGCTAATTTCCAGGATATACAAAGAACTTCAAAACAACCAAAAACCAAAACAAACAAACCACTCAAGAAATGGGCACGGGAAATGGGCAAACATTTCACAAAGGAACAAGTCCAAATGGCAAACAAACATATGAAAAAATGTTCCAGCTCCCTAGCAATAAGGGAAATCCAAATTAAAACATCGATGAGGTACCACCTAACACCAGTAAGATTGGCCCACATAAACAAGAACACCAACGACGCTTGCTGGCGAGGATGCGGGGAAAAGGGAACCCTACTCCACTGCTGGTGGAGCTGCAAATTGGTACAGCCTTTATGGAAATCAGTCTGGAGAACACTCAAACAACTCAAAATCTGCATACCATATGACCCAGCAATAGCACTCCTAGGAATATATCCAAAACACCTGTTTTACGACAATTGATTACTCTTTAGATGGCCATACCCCTGGCTCAAGCCAGCAACCAGAATCCAGCAGATGCTACCTCCAAGTCTCCTACATGCGTAGCAAGGATTCAAGCACCAGGGTCATCTTCCACTGCTTCTCCCAGGCTATGACCAAGGAGCTTGGTGGGAAATGTGACAGGAGCCAGTGCCCTTATGAGGTGCTAGTATTGCAGGCAGTGACTTAATGCGCTAAGACGCAAGGCCAGTAATGTGTTTATTGTTTTTATAACAACTATTCTTGAATACTATGGCCAAGAAATTATAACATCTAATCCTTGAAGGATGTAATGGATTGCTTTAAAAAACAATATGTTCACTGTCTTTTTCTTATTTTCTACTGCTCAGCCTGTTTTTATCTTATTTCAAGGATAATCACCACCGTTACTACTAATGATAATGTTCTGATTTATTGTTCCTGTCCTTATGACTTGCAGGCTTCTTGAACATACAATCATGGCCACCAAACATGACCGACTTCAGTGTTTTCTCCAACTTGGTCACCATTGGTGGAAGAGTGCTCTACAGGTGGGTGTGTATGTGAAAAACAGCAAAACTCCACTGCTTAAGTACAGTATGTAAAAATTTCAGTCCTAATGATTTACAGATTTAGAGAACAGCAAGTTTGTGTTGTTAAAGATAAACGTAATGAGGATACCTCTGATAATGATGTGAAGTAGAATATATATTTTTATCTTTCAGCTACTTCTCAGTTTCCATAATAGTGTTCTGCAGGTATGGAATGAATGAGGTAGATCAGAAAACTGAGCTTTATTTTTGGATCCTGTGTTATCATAATAGAAGGTAACTTTGAGTGATTTGGTAATGGCTTAGTTGCATATGATATAGTCTTCTACCAGGAGGTTTTGTTTTTGCTTCTGATGCTATAATTTCACAAAATTCATAGGATTGATATTTCAGAAATTAATTCACAACTGTCCATGCCATACTGACCAATAGATGGACAAAAACAGAGCAAAATACTGTGTAAAATCTTAACACCTCATATTAGACTCACATGATGAAAACCTACCTTTTTTACTTTAACTAAGCCATTCCTTCATAGGGTTATCTCATATTTAATCTTCATGAAGATCTTATTTCTGAAAGTTATAGAAGTCAATTTATGTGAATGATTATCCTACGTATTATGTAGTCTTAATAGAAAATCTGGTTTTTCAGTAGTATAAAATTTAGGATTGCAAAGGAAGGGATGAGTAGATATTTTAGTGTTAAGTATCTCAGCAGAGATAGAAATATCATCAATATGCATAACTTCAGAAAATGGACATTCTCCTTTTAGGAAATCAGTTATCATTCTTTAAAACTGTATATAATATGTAAAGAAAAAAACGTTCTGAGTACACATGTATTAATTCCATCACCATTTATGCTGTGGTAGCATTCTTCTTGCATCTCATGTCCAGAAATTATTTATTATTGTTCCATTCTTTGCTTTCTCCTTTTCTCTTAGTGGCCTCTCCCTGCTTATTCTCAAGCAACAGGGCATCACCTCTCTACAGTTTCAGTCTCTGAAGGAAATCAGTGCTGGAAACATCTATATCACTGACAACAGCAACCTCTGTTACTATCATACCATTAATTGGACAACCCTTTTCAGCACAATCAACCAACGCATAGTGATCCGCGACAACAGGAAAGCTGAAAATTGTAGTAAGTACATTACCTGAACACTTGACACATAGAAACTTTGAAATTTTTTTTGCCATTTTACAGTAGACCAAGCAGTTAAAAATAACAGAAGACAGAATCACTGCTCTGTTTACCTAATCATTAAATATATATATATAATTTTTATATTTTTTTATTTATTTGAGAGGCATAGCAAAAAAAAAGAGAGAGAGAGAGATGGAGGGAGGGAGAGAAAGAGAGGGAGAGAGCGTTCTTCCATCTGTTGATACACTCTCTCTCCACAAATCGCTCAAGTGATCAAGGCTCGGCCAAACTGAAGGTCGGAGCCAGGAGATCCGTCCAGGTGTCACATGTGGGTACTAAGTCCCAAGCACTTGGGACATCTACCACTGCTTTCCCAGGCACATTACTAGCAAGTTGGATCAGACCTGAGACTCAAAGACAGGGCCCCACATGAGTTATGTCCATAGGCTTCACCTGTTACAACACGTTGTCCCCTTAAGCCAACCTCCATATAGGAAGGTAGTTATAACTACCAACATCCTATAAAGTAATTAGAAAATCTGCCTTTTTATGACAAATTGCATGTTTGAAAAAAATTCTTCCATAATCCTGGAAACCTTAGAAGATTTAGATACAGTAGGCAGAGGTAGAACCTGTGTGCATAAATGCTTAATAACCATCAAGGCCCATAAAGGTGGGAAACTCAACCTTTCTGGATCAAATCTGTGATTTCTGCCAGATTTCTGTGCAATTGGAGCATGAAATAACAACACAGTTTAGACATTTGGATGTGATAGGAAAAATGGGATTGTGTTTTGTCTGAAATATGTGAGAAACAGTGTTCAAATAGTACTTGAGTATTTCTGTTGCTAAAGTAGAATGTTCATTTTATGGATATCTTTTACAGGTATGTCATAATTTTTTTCTCTTTTGCTATTTACTGTTCTATTTCATCACTTCATTTTCACACTGAAACAAATAGTTTTTCCCATAGATATTTGATTATGGCATAGCTGTTAAGCACATTGAGATTCCAATGATTTGTGCTTAATTCTTCAATGCATTTTTTTTTACCTCATACATTTTAGTAAAAACATTTCTATCCTATAAGTGTTTGAACTGTGCATATATCTGTCTATTTTATTTACTGTAATTGCCAAATGAAATGACTCAGAATTCAAATAATCTGTTTATAACTGCTTATCCTTCTTGTAGATGTGATGTGTCAGTTGTTTTTAAAGGAAGGTTTTGCTCTCAATATCAGAACAATCATCTGGATAGAAGAAATGACTTACTGATATCTTGCTTTGCTCCAGAAAGAGCTGAAAGGCAGCCTTGATGAAAAGTTTTCATAAAATATCACATACGATTTGTGTTGAAATCATGTATTATATAGTTGGTTTTGTTACGTAAAAATATATTCTAGAGGAAGAGCTGTTGTATTGGGAGCTTCCTGCTTGACGTGAATGTTAAGTCATTCTAGATTTCTCTATTCAACACAGAATCTGGAAATTTAAAACCTAGTTATTTTTCAAAACATGCGTGATCATATGGAATAGAACTCTTCTTTTCATGTGGGCTGGATCCTTTCTTTGGCTTTCTGCGTTGCCATTGATTGAGACAAAGTATGCTCTGTCCACTTCTGTGTGTGTAGATGCCGTCAGAAAGTAAGTGATGCACAGCAGGTGGACAGAATGTTCTCGATGCTGATTTATAAATGTTATCTTAAATCAGGATTATGCTTTTTTTCTTTCACTGCTTTCAAAAACACACTAACAAGCCAAATAACACAGTGTACTGCTCATGTTCAAACAGAAGACATTAACTATAAAGATTTTATTAAACAAAAAACTAAGAAAGTAATAGAAAAAAAATGTCTCTGACACACTGATAAATCCTATAAGCCTACATATATCTTTTATCTTTTTGGTATTTCACAAAATAATCAGTTGAGAAGATGAAAACCCAGAACAAAATCCAATTTAAAAAAGGAGATGGGGAAAAATAGAGTTCAAATACTTGTTATTTAATATCACTAAACTCTTCAAAAATCAATCAATCAATAATAATAACAAAAAGTAAAAATGTAAGATGTTCATAGCCCTGCACTAGGAGGCCTCTTTGGCTGAATTTAGCTCCTTTTCAGATCATAAACTATTATCTTGTTCTGCATTCTTGGCGTTTAATTTGCAGTTAGGGAAAGAGATGAAGCAGTTAGAAGAAATACAGTTTTGTCATGCTACGGTATAAAACTGAGCACGTCATTCCTGAGTTTTTTAACATTGCAGAATAAATATGTTTTGTATGAAATCCATTTGTCAAAATTTGGACTTCAGTCTTGCAGCATTTTGAATACATAAAATTCACAAATGCCTACACTCTCAGAAACATGATTACCCTGTAACCTCAGAGACGCCACTGCTGCTGTTTATAGTGAATCTACGGTGGTTTCTCACTTATGATTAAAGCGTTTTTATCATCCATACCACTATCTGGAATAGGAAAGCCTGTGTGCTTCATTTTAAATGTGCTGGTAATATTGCACTTTTAGTATTGTCTTTATACATATGAAGAATACAGAGGTGTATATGCAATTACGGGCTACAACTCTTGATCACAATTGGGGATGAAAAATTCAAGTAAGTGTATATGCACACACACAAAGCATTTGCATGTAGATATATGGAGTACATACACATCTCACCCAGACGTACGTGCACATGAACATCACATAATACTTTGTCCTATATTTGGAATTTGCTTTCTTAGGTTACAAGGAGCAGCACCTCTCTATCTAGAAATAGTGGTATCTGGCATTTAACATGATTTAAAACAACAGGGCAATAAAATAAAAACTTCACCTTGCCTTTTATGGGTGACGGAAGTTTGCGCAATCTTACTCTTTGAAGTAAAAACTTCAAAACAGACTTTGCCATTGAAGCGATTGAGATTGATAGAAACTGAAGGACATGAAAAGTTAGAAGATTTTCTAACTTTTTATAATTACACAAAAGGAAAATAATAGGTGGAAGATATTTTAGGATGTGTTTATTATAGTACTTGTCAATTCTTAAATAATTTTAACCTACATTTCCAACACTGATGCTAGATATGCAGATGTAAGTATCATCCCTACAGTTAGAGGGAAGGAAGGAAGGAAGGAAGGAGAGAGAGAAAGATATAGACACATCTTCCACCTGTTGTTTTACTCCCAACTGGTCAAAAAAGCCAGGAAGGAGCTAGGTGGAAGCCACAGTGTTTAACTTTTCTTAATGAAAGTCTTCCTGTGGGACAGGAAAGGAGGATAATTGAAAGTTCTTTCTTTTAGTAACATAAGAAATACGCAATTTATTATTAAAGAGGAGAATCAGATTGTAATCTGATAATAGGATAATCAACAAATTTTCATGAGTTTGACCAACTCATTGTCAACATGGAAAGAACTGAAAAGCTAGTAAGGATAGGCCAGAATTGGAATAATTTAAAAACAATTTCTTGAGCTCTTATCTAGGTAAAGAAACTTTTAAAATATGCTCGATCTCTTAAAACATGTATTTTTTTCTTTTCACTTCTAATTATACTTTATATTTGACCTTCTGATTAGTAAGAAAAATAGTGCCTTGAAATCCATAAAGTATGCATTTTAGACTAACTGTATAGGAGACAAATGTTGGTCATGGGAGATACATAAATTTCCATAAATTATAAGACAAATACAGTAAAACTTTGGTATGCAAATGAATTGATTCTAATACTCATGCACCTAAGAAGAAATGAGGATGTTCAAGTGTCTTGATTAAATGCACATAGAGTATTGGCACGTAACTGGTGCACATTTTAAGATCGAAACTTAATTCTTAAAAGTATATACAAGAGGGCCCGGTGTGGTAACCTAGTGGCTAAAGTCCTTGCCTTGAAGGTGCCAGGATCCCATATGGGTACCAGTTCTAATCCTGGCAGCCCCACTTCCCATCCAGCTCCCTGTTGCTTGGGAAAGCTTTCAAGAGTGGCCCAAAGCTTTGGGAATCTGTACCCACGTGGGAGACCTGGAAGAGGCTCCGGGTTCCTGGCTTCAGATTGGCTCAGCTCTGGCTGTTGTGGCCACTTGAGGAGTGAGTCAAGGGACATAAGATCTTCCTTTCTGTCTTTACTCCTCTCTGTATATCTGGCTTTGCAATAAGATGAACGTATATATGAGAAAGGCATTTGGCGTAAGAGTGAAGATGCCCACTTCTTCTATCGAAGTCTCTTGGTGTCAGTCTTGCCTCTACTCCTGTCCCAGCTTCTGCTAATAAGTGATGGCTCAGATCATTGGGTTCCTGAAACGCATGGAAGACCTGAATTAAGTTCCTGGATCCTGGTTTCATCCTGATCTAACCATTGTGGTTTTGGACGTTTAGCAAGTGAGCCTCTGCTCCATCCTCTCCTTTCTCCTTCTCTCCTCTCTTCCCCCTTCTCTCCTCTCTTCCCCTTCTCTCCTCTCATCTCTGTTTTTCTGCCTCCCAAACTAATGTAAGTTTTTAAAAAGGTAAAAAAAGATGTGAGCCTAACTTTCCATCTGTTGCTTGGACCCAGTCTGGGGGCATACTGTATTCCTCAGAAAGAAATACGAAGGATCTAGGACTTGAAACATGTGAATGTGACCCTATTGAACAGAGGATACTTGAAGACATAATGAAAATGTGAATTAGGGAAAGATTATACTAGAATGGCTCCTTAACCCAATGATTTATGAGCCATAAGAAAGGAAGAAATACTGAAATAAAAAGACAAGATGAGAAGCACATTCGGAGGGAAGGCAGGCCATTTGATGACAGACATGAAGCCTGGAGTTAAGCATTGCGAGCTGAGGAGTACCACAGTTCGTTGGCAAAAACCCCAGGCCAAAGGAGAGCCAGGAAATGGATTCTTCTGAGTCCTTGAAAAGGAACCAGCCTGCCAACACCTCGATTGTGGACTTCTGGCTTGCAGAACTGTGAGAACATAGATTTCTGATGTGTTTTTAGCTGCCAGACTTA